TGCAGTTGATCCAAGCATAGCTAGATAAAAAAATTGCTCCCTTTTCCCAGTTCTGATATCTGAGCATGCGCGACCACACCCAAATTTTTTGAGCACATGTTTCTTTTAATTAACAAAATGGCGGCACGAGGTAAGTTGGACAGATCCAACAGTCACAGTATCACTTCTTCCTTTCTTGGAGAATGATCTGATGGGACATGGACCTGCGTATAGACTGTTGAAGTAGAATGGTGTAAGAATTAGCCTTCTGGCACCAGCCAATATTCAGATACACACCGACAACTGGATTGACAGGAGATGAAGATGAAAAAAAGTGGACTGAACAAAACGGCCGTTTTGCCGATTTTTGACTTTTCTCTTAGACAAGGTCTAGAGCCACGCTAGTGGTACCAATGGAGTCCTCTGGTCAAGATAAGGTCCTCTAAGAAGTCTGGTAAGCATAAGAGCTCGTTTTCCCGGTATAGCAAGGCTGCAAAAGTCGTGGCAGCCATATTGTTTTGGGGTGAATCCTACTTAGTAACGCTACCGCGTTACTAATAAGTTAGTGATTGAGTTAGGGAGAGAAAAGGACAGAAACAAACAGTACATGTGATTCATAAAACTTGTATGTGATGAAAACAATCAGTAAACCACAAAGAAGGCTTAATTACTCTTGAGAAATCTATTCATATCTTGCCTGTGAATGATGTTGCCGATTTATAATAATATTCATTGGGATACCATAAATGGAAAATTTTTCAGGCCACCATTGTGGAGGTATACTATCATTAACAATGGACCGACAGGCTAAAAACTGTCAATTCTACTTCTCCACGCCACTCCAGTGGCTCTAAACAGTTGCAGATTACTGAAAAGAAAGATAAAGGTTGCAATTTTTAACTTTTGAGACTATAACTGCTTGCTCTTCTTACAAAACGGCAGAAAGTGTATCGAGCTCCATTGGAAACAGTGCAGCAATACCTCCACAATGGTGGCCTGTAAAATTTTCTATTTACGGTATCCCAATGAATATCATTATAAATTGGAAACATCATTCACAGGAAAGATATGAATATGCATGAGGCTTAGTTTACCACACCCACTAATTACCCCACCCACATCATCACAAAAGTTGAATACAGCAAAAGGCAATACATTGTTTCATACACTTTGAAATCTGTAGCAATTTGTTTGCAAGCATAAAGCAGGCACAAAATGATACTGATGGTATGGATTTTGTTGCTGCCTGAATCATAAATCTGCCCATGCAATACAAAAGAAGAAATTAAATTTATCAGTGGAAAGTAATACACATAGTTCATATAGTGCCATATAATGTCATAACTATCATAGAGCATGATCAGATTGAAACAAAATTGAGCATTTTATATTGGCTACTCTTTCATGGAACCACTAATTATCCCCTCACTAATAAATGATCTTGTTATAGTAATACATGTACCGTCAGCCGGGTTTTGATTGCGTATCTAATAGATTGCGAATTTGAAAACATAACTAGTTTGCGTTTCCATCAATTGCGTGCTGCTAGCCTAGCTAGCCACACTCACAAGCTAACTGTTTTCCTCCTTTGCCATATAAAGCTACTGCCACAGCTTGATTACCGTATAGCTTGAAATTTTCGTGGGTCGATATTTTCGTGGTTTGCTCCTAGTGGGGTAATTTGTGGTTTAATTTTCATGGTTGACAGTTTACATAGCCATTAACCTGTAAGGGGATGGCACTTCAAAGATTTCATGGGTTTAAATTTCGTGGGCAGCTCATAACCACGAAAAGCAAAAATTTACATTCCATGAAAATTTCAAGCTATACGGTAACTTCCTTCAAGATGTTAGGGGGCATTGGGACTTGACTAGATGAGGTAATTTGGGCTTAAAATATCACAAGATACCACTCATGATGCTGTAAATGAAACACGTGTAGAAATGATTGAAATGTTTTAAGTGCAATTCTTTTCATTGCGAGATGTATTCCAGACTCGCAATTCACAATCAAAAAAAATCTTGCAATCAAAACCCAGCCTATGGTAAAGTGTTTATTTTGTAAGATTATACATAAATAACTAATTAATATTACCTAGTTCAACTACCATTGTGATATTAGGATCAGTCACAGGTGTACTTTGCCATTTCATTACTCCTCCTCCTACAGGTATCTGTTCTCCCTTTATAGCACCTCCCACTATTATCAGGAACACATGATTAGGGTAAACAACAAAAGATGCTACAGTATGATAGAATCTAACTGTAACAGAATCAGGTAGTGGAATCTAAGGAATAGAGAATGTACAACAGTAACAATACTACAGTGTAGACAGAAAGAGTGTATAGTATCATAACACCAGTGGTTGATAATGGGGTACATCAATATGACTAAGATTTGCACTGGAAATTTGTAAAATGGCCAGTTTAAATCATTGCTCGATAATATTTTTCTTCTAAAAACAATCCACAAAACCAAAAGCTAAGAAATTCCTTTTGGTGAAAATTAATGCATGATAGAGAAAAAAATCAAAAACATGATACAATGATCCAATGGCTGACAAGCATAATCACCAAAAGATGCTGTTGTGCCAAACTCAGTCAACTAGATAAAAGGCTTCATTAAAACTGTTCTAAAAACTACTCATAAAAATTACAACTAAATATAATTGTATATAGATGTGTGGATACCATAACTGACAGGTATAACACAAAATTAATCATAATCCTTCTCACTAAAGGGTCTATACAAATAAAATTACAATTTTGTTGAATTTGCAAAATCTTAACCAAAAATTTCCCCCACCCTATTGTACACTATGTATGTAATATAATGTCAGCGTAATGTATTAATACCGTTATCCAATTGTACTGGTTTGTGTCTAATAAAAAACAATCATTCACTGGTTGACTCATATTATCCGCTCCACCAATCACTACTAGTGTAGGTGAGGTAGAGACACCATTGATAATAGTACTGGCATGAGCACGTCTCCCCTTAAGCCACAGTCCATCATTAGGTATTGCTCCTTGTGTAAGACACTCCCAGTTCTAAAACACAAATAAATTTATATGTACATGTACATGTATGTGTACATATATTATGTTTTATTAGCTTAAGCTCACCACTTAAGGCAGGTTTACAATATTACACTAGTCCTGATGTCATTGGCCTCACCCAGCTTTGCGTAGGCGAGGACTAGGTACTCGGTTTGTCTGTCTGTCATTCATTCATTCTGTATGCTATATTTTGTCTTTGAGAATGTATATCTTTACAATCGCGCGCTCTAAACCTGTGAGAGCTTCTCTTCTGTTAGGAAAAGTCTTGTTTTATTGCTTCGAGATGTTTCGAGAGCAGCTCTAGGTAGTAGTAGTACAAGCTTTTTAACTCACAAGAAAATGCCTAGCAATAGCGGTAGTACTCTGGAAATAAATGAGACTCTTTCCCAGTAGATCAAGACTATTTATTCATTTAATATGTGTGGGACTCTTTAAACCTTTCTTTTTGGTGAATTATAGCTATTCAAATTTCATCCCGAGTGAAGTGCTGCAGCAGTAGTTCGCTAGTCCATGGCTAGTCTAAGGATCCTAAACTCTCTTAAGTCACTCAATCTATCTAGGCAACAGTATTTGTGCCATTATATCATCTTAGACTTATAGCGCTTAGAAGAAGAGAAAAAACCTGAAGCTTCCCTCTCACATGGTCTTGCTGCATTAATGCCATGCCTCCAAGCA